AAAATGGAGTTAAGGCTCCCAAGGCAGACCACAGCCTTCCACAAACCCAAGTGCTTCAGAATTTAAGCTCTAATACAGTAGTCACAACTCAAAAAAAAGTTAATTTCAGATGGTTCCATGTTGAACATGAGTTTGACCAACATCTCTCTCCAATTTCAATTTAATTCTATTAAATTTAATCCTAATAAGACAGAACATGCTGGCCCTACAAGATAAGCAGGACAACTCAATAAGCCACCTCTCTTCCCTTATCTAATTTACCCTGATCTCCCTGGGCTAGCAAAAATCAGCCTGAGTTGGTTTGGCAACCATCTTAGTACTCCAGGTGACCTTTAGGTCATTAAGTGCCTCATAGATATTAACATTTCCACCTTTGGGTGGAGTTTAGCAGCCATTTTCTATATAAGCTATGTATGGAGAATTATGTAACCCTAACTGCACCTGCGTAGAATGTAGAAGAATGATTATTATGACTATGACTTCCTATTTTGTAAACAGTATATAAAGGAAGCTTGAGGGACCCTTCCTTGGAGCAGTCTTAGAGGCACTAACCCTAGCTGTTCTCTTCATTGGTCAAAGAAATAAAAGTGTCTTTCTGTTCTCCTATCTTTGTGCCTTATTTATTGGTTACAAAGAGTCATGCCAAGCAGAGCCTGGATTTTACCCAGTAGACCTGACAAGCTGCTGTGACCTGCAAGTTTCCCAGTATTCTTTCAATAGCTTGTAGTGCCGACTGCTCTTTCCTGTTCTCAGACCTATGGGAGCAGTGGAAGGGAGAGGGGGTGGGGTTGATCCTCCCAACATTCCACCTTTTTTTTTAAATATTTGTCTTTCTCCACCTTCCCCTCTGGACCAAGCACCATTCTCCTGATAATAATTTCCAGACTAAATCTAGAATGACCCAAAGGCAAGGTTTTCTCCACAGAGAACTGGCTGGCATTTTGGAATATTTTGTTTGTCCTAGATAAATAGTGCTCAGGGATATTTCCCCATTTCCCATGCGTTGAGGCAAGAATAAGAAAAAATAAGTTAGGATGCCCTCTTATTATTATTACTATTTCTCTCTGACAAATGTTCTTCATTACCACTTTCCTCCTCCATCATACAACATGCCTCATGGCCGGTTAAAGCATCATATTGTGAGAAGACTGAAATAGTAAAACATGTAATGCTGTGCCCAGGAAAGGGTTTTCTGAGAGCTATGTAAGTCAGGTAATTAGCAGAAACTGCTACTTGCCATCCAGCAGTCATTCTTACCTTCTTCCTTACCAAAATTCTTATTTTATTCAAGGTTAAAATATGCTCAGTTTAAAAAAAAAAAAATCTCAATTCTTGTACTGTGAGCCATTTGACTAAGTTCTGGCCAAGTGTCATGTGAGATGTCTAAGAAGATTGGTTAAATGAACTGACTCAGTGGGAAGGTCAGCCCTCTTTTTGTCCTTCTCTCTTCTTTTTTCCCCACAACCTGTAATGCTGTTGTGATGACTGGCACTCTAGCAGCCTGTCTGAAACGACCTTGAGGATGAAATTCAAAAGCTGAGAATGATGGAATAAAAAGGTAGAAGAATCAGGTCCTTGGTGATTTTACGGAGCCATCCCCTACGCTGACCTGTCCAAATCTGGATTTCTTTAATATAAGGTAATAAATGTCTCTATTTAAGCCACTTATATTTTGAGATTTCTGTTATATGCAGCAAGACTAATACCAACTGATGCTGTTACCCTAAAACTTCAAAGACCATATCAGCTAAAAAGTGGCTCCTGTCTCAGGCCCTCTTGGTCTCTGCATCTATTCTATGCTTCCTCTCAGCCTTCTCATAGCCTGATCAGGGGAAGATGGCTGGCTGAGGAACCTCTGACATCATTAAAGTTTTGCTATTGGTGTAGACAGCAAGTGATCCTGGATTCTGAGGACCTAAGCACTTGGAAGAGAGAAGCAGTGTTCCCTCAGCTCTTCCCTTACACCTTTTTCAGCACCACTTATTCCCAACCCATCATTCCATGATGGCCATACTCTCTCTGTTTACCAACCTGTCCAGGAGCTAATGAAAAGTTTAGAGCAAGGTGGAGAGGGGTGCAGAAAATGAAAGGGAAGTCATTGAATGAAGTACCACTCAAATGTTCCAGTTGCCCAACTTCTTAGGTGGTTGATTAAATTCTGCTGACTCAGCTGTGAGATAAGCCTTCTCTTTACTTCCTCATAGTGGTGAAGTGCCTAAGGCATTTGACTGCTAACCAGAAGGCTGGTGGTTCAAATCCACCAGCTACTCCATGGAAGGAAGGTGGGGGAATCTACTTCCATAAATATTTACCACCTTGGAAACTCAATAGGAGTGGCTATGAGTCAGAATCAACTCGATGGCAGTGAGTATAGTTCTATAAAACAGAATTCTTATTCTTCACAAATGTATATTTTAACTTGCTGGTATTCACCTCAATGTATTCCAGTCTTGGTGGGGAGAAAAAGTAATAGACACATACCAGGCTTCAAATATGTTTTATTGAGATTTTTTTCTTAATAATTTGGTGTTTTTCCACTCCTCATAGTCTCACCTCCTCTCCTCTCCATCCCCAGTTCTAAGAGGTGCCCAGTGAGTGACATAAAGGAGTTAGCAGTCTCCGGTAAGCATCTACCTTCCAGGATGGTGGACAGAGATGTTTGTTAACATGACTGGCTCACCCAGACAGGAGAGAGGTAGGGAGGTTGTAGAGACCCAAATAAAGACCTCACAAGGGGAAATATTCCAAGTAGACCAGACTTTACAGAGAACTGAAATCTCTACCATCCAGCTAAAAGAACTATATAACTGATTCTAGTTAAGTGGGATTTAAATACCACAGACTGCTAGAAGAACAGACAAATATGTCTCAGAAGTGGTACAACCAGAATGCTCCTTAGAAGTGAGGATGGTGACACTTTGTATCACTTTGGACATGTTATTGGGAGGGACTAGTCCCTAGAGAAGGACATCATGCTTGGTAAAGTAGAGGGTCAGTGAAAAAGAGGAAGACCCTCAATGAGAAGGATTGGCACAGTGGCTGCAACAATGAGTGCAAGCATGATAACGATTGTGAAGATGGGACAGGACCAGGCAACGTTTCATTCTGTTGTACATGGAGGCTAAGACACTTGCTGCTAACCAGATGGCTGGCGGTTCAAACCCACCAGCCACTCCTCGGAAGGAAGGTTGGGCAATCCTACTTCCGTAGTGATACTGCCTCGGAAACCCAAGGAGGGGTCGCTATGAGTCGGGTTTGACTCGATGGCACATAACAACAACAACAATATAACAAGACAGATTTCATGTGAGTAGGCCTGAAAACCTGAAGTGGAGTCAACTTTTTCACAATGAGCTCGATAAAGAAGATACATGGGCAAGGAACTAGTATAAAATGCTCCAGAGTTTCTCTAACACATTAGACATTCTGTCATTTATTAAACTGACTTATGAAATTAGTATTGTTCCACCAATCAGAAATTAGCCCTGAACTATTTGGAAAAATATTGGAAAGTATAGGGCTCTGGTTGAATTGTTGCCATTGTTAGGTGTGCCATTGGGTCAGCTCTGACTCGTAGCAGCCCCCTGTACAACAGAACAAAATGCTGCCAGGTCCCGTGCCATCCTCACAATCCTTGCTATGCTTCAGCCCATCTTGCAGCCACCGTGTCAATCCATCTCAAGATAACAAGCCCAGATCAATACCAGTATGTTCCTGATCTCCCATCTTGATACAATACACTGTCATGAGACACATGTCTTTCAGCTCTGCCACCCAGTCAGTCCCATGACTCTCCTCTTAGTATACATACACTTCACACAAATTCATCTCAGCAAATATTTATTGGTCTCCTAATCCAGTTAAGGCATGGCGCCAGGTGCTGTGGGGTACAAAGGCAAGAAGACTAGGTCTTACCCCCAAGGAGCTTACAGTCTAGTGGGGAGAAAGACACACTCACACATAACAGAAATACAAGGTAGATGATGTGAGTCCTGTAATAGAGGCAAAAAGTTTGAGGGAGCAGAGAACAAGGAAAGATTGAATACGCCTAGGGAGAGCAGGTGTTTAATGTAGGGAGTGGTGTTTCAGCAAAGTCCCTGGAAGATGGGGCAGAATTCACACAGGTGGAACTAGAGAGAGAGACACACACACTCCAGGCACAAGTGAAGGCACAGAGGTGAGAAAGTATAGTGAATGTCCAGAAAACAGAGATGTCTGCCTTGACCGACAGATGGGATGCTAAAGGGATAACGGAAGGAACAATAGCTAAAGAAGTGGTTTGGGGACATGTGATAGAGAAACAGTGTATAGTAAGGAGAATTGACTTTATTCTATAGGCAATAGTGAGCCATTGAAAGTTTCTAAGCAAATGACATGACCTCATTTCCTCAATTCCAAGCAAACTGATGTGCATAATCTTTGATTAGTTCTATTTATTTATTTATTTTTAACCTCATTCTGTGGATCTGTGCCCTCTCTTGGCCTCAAAGTAGAAGCCAAGCTGGGTCCTATGGACACACATACTTTCCAGGGATGTACAATGTAAGAAGCAGTAGGCTGGGTAAATTTTGAGCTCACTTAACAGCTTTACACCACCTGCACAAAACAGTAAGTAAGGAGGCCTCATCGAACCATCTGTAAGTAAAGGATAGGACACAAGGAAGGTACTCAACAAACTCTTGTTGCCTAAGCATAGTGTGGATAATCTGGAGAGAAAACAGTATATGAAAGAAAATGGTGGAGATTCCAGTAACACAGTCAATTCTCATTATTACAGGCAGTTATGTTCTACGAACTTCTCTAGAACATTGAATTAGCTAATACAGAACCAGCCTTGATCCATCTCAGCTAGGAATGTGTGCCTGAGGTGACTCAAATTTTTCACAGCTCAGCACATATCTGTGAAAGCCTGCAAAAGCTCAGCAAGTATTGGTTTTAAGGTTACAAATAAATTTTAGCAAGTAAGTGAATTCACAAATCCTCAGCTAATGAAGGTCAACTGTAATTAGCATCATCCAAATTAAACCATTTCCCAATAGGACTTCTAGTATAACCCACCCTGCCCATTCCCCATCCACCCCCATCTCACTTGTTGGGGAGACCCTGCAATCTGACACACTGGAATCCAGTCCATGGAGTTTCTAAGCATTCCTACCATAAAAGGTTCTCTTCTGGCACTCTTCAATCCTAATTGTCCAATGAGGAAGGAGAATGGCGCCCACCCCCACCCAGGCCACCCCAACCCGAGAAAGGATGCGAGGCCACTGCTGTCCAGGTGGATACAGCAATGCTGGTCAGCGAGGGCTCCCCCAGAACCTCCATGCCAGCTGAAGTGGGTGCTTGTGTGGAGAGCACAGAGGGAGAAGTCACAGCTGGGTTACCCAGGAGAAAGGTACCCGGGGAGCTGGCATGCACTTCCGGGCCTGGCCCACCAGGGCCCCCGCCACTATTGCTGATGGTCCACAGGCACGGGTATGGGCTGCAGAGACAGAGAGAGAGAGAGAGAGGACAAAGAACCATCATGGGCCCCTGACAAGCATACCCACAGTGCTGAGTAGGGCACAGGTCTATGAAGAGGGTGTCTGACCACAACTTTAGCACTAACTGACACAAATTGGCCCTATTTCTGCAGAAAATACAAGGGAAGCAGCAAGATGTACTGGAATAAATATAAGACTGAGTGTCCTGAATTCTCGTGTCAGCCCTGCCACCAGCAAGCTGTTAGGTTTTACACACAGCATTTCCCTTCCCTGGCCTCCGTTGCTGCATACATAAAATGGGCAAGGGACAAAAGGGCAGTATTTGGACTGTATGATCTGTGACAACCTCTTTCCAACCCAGAGAGGTAGCAGGACATGATAGCCAGAACATAGTGGTGTCAGAAGACCTGCGTTTGACTCTACCATTCATGAGTGTTTTGACCTTGTTCAAATTCTTTAATATATATGAGCCAGTTTCCTCATCTTCAAGATTTGCCAAGATAATTATACAGATGGTACAGGGGTTGTTATGAGGATTAAATGAGAAAAGGAATATGCAGGGCCTGGCACATGGCAGACACTCAGTAATGGTGGTAGTTAAAAGTAATTCTTCCATTCCATAAAGTAGAAACATGTTCCTGGTTTTCTGTCAGCTCTGATCCCTCACAGGAAGGCATGGGAATTGTACCACTTTCTTTGACTTCTCTTGTTCGATAGTTCTAGTCCTCAAACTTGGGTACACCTTGGAATCACTTAATGAGTTTTTTTTAAAAAAATACTTATGCCCCAGAGATTTTGATTAGTATGGTAAGCATCCTGAGTATCAGGATTCTTTAAAGCTCCCTCAGTTGGTTGCAACTTGCAGCAAAGTTTGTACCAGTAGAACCCTGATTAAAAGGACTCCAGTTGTAATGTAGAATAGTTTCCAGCATTGCAAGACTTCAGATGTCATTGTTTTGACTTTTTAGAGTTCCTGCATTGCCTGATGATGGTACTCACCACATTTGCTTTTCTCTAACAATATTTTTGGGAGCTCTGGTAGCATAGTGCCTAAGGCACTTGACTGCTAACCAGGAGGCTGGTGGTTCAAACCCACCAGCCGCTCCTCGGAAGGAAGATTGGGCAGTCTACTTCCGTAGTGATACTGCCTCGGAAACCCAAGAAGGGGTTGCCTATGAATCGGGTCTGACTCCACGGCAAACAACAACAACAACAACATTTTTATGGATCAGGAATGGTTTAAACACACAAATGACAAAGCCAGAGGTAGCAATGCCACCCTCCACCCTGTGTTATATGGCGAATGCCATAGGCCACTTGGACTATATGGAGGCTGCAGGAGCCCACCCTCTGACCTCTCTTTGAGTCAGATCAGCTTGCTAGGACTCTGACCTCAACCTCCAGAATAGCCTCTTCTAGAAGATCCTGTAGAGCCCTTTGTTGATGCCGCGGAGGCCAGAGGAAAAACCGCAGGTTCTGAGTCATACTACTTACTGTGTGGCCTTCAGAAAGCTTTTGATGCCTCAGAGCTTATGTTTCTTCATCAGTCAAATGGGAATTTGAATACATATCTTATAGATATCTTTGAGTCATACAGAAAACTTACACAGAGTATCTGGTACAGAAGTTGACACATGATTGTTTAATATCCTCAGGAATACTTCCTATTTATTCTCTTTTCATTTCCTACTACATCCCAAGTCAGTGATTTTTCCCTTAGATCCTGTAGACTAACACTGCCCACCAGAAATAAAATATGAGGGAAGGCAAGGAGGGGAAAGGAAGCTAGATCAATGGAAAGAGAACAACCTGAATGGAAATCATGAGAATGCTGGCACATTGTGAAAACTGTAACCAACGTCATAGGACAATTTGTATAAAAGTTGTTAAATGGGAATCTATTTTGTGGTGTAAACTTTCATCTGGAACACAATAAAACATTATCAAAAGAAAAGAAGAAGAAATGAAATGTGAGCCATATATGCAATTTTAAATTTTCACAGTAAAAGAAGAGAAAGACACTAATTTATTTTAATGATATTTTATGTAACCTAAAATATTCAAAATAATATCATTTCAACATGCATTCAATATAAAAAAATATTGATAAGATTTTTGTTTTTCCATGTTAAATCTGCAAAATCCTGTGTGCATTTTATACTTAGAGCCTATCTCAATTTGGACTCACCACATTTCAAGTGCTCAATAGCCACATGTGGTTAGTGGCTGCTGCATTGGACAGCAGAGCTCTAGCACCTGTGGGTCACAGTAACATCAAACCCCTGGGAGCTTATGAAACATGAAGAATCTCAGGCTCCCCCACGCTGACTTACTAATCAGATTCTGCTTTCAACATCATCCCCACACAGTGTACATTGAAGTTCAAGAAGCACTTCTCTAGACCAAAGCTGATCATATTCTCCTAACTTTTCCTTTTCTAAAACATCATCTGACTTCTCCTAGGTCCTATCTTTTAATTTTTAATCCCCTTTTGAACCTTCTTAAAATTCAACATGTCTATGTTGAATGCAATATCTGACATTTACATAGAATGTTACTGCTTACAAAGCATTTGTATTTATGTTTTTGATGCTCACCATCACTCTACAGAGTAGCTCATATTGTGTCAATGCTTTCTCTAACTGTACAGAATCAACCACCAACCAAACACTGCCTTTGAGTCGGACCTGACTCATAGCGACCCTTCCTTGGGTTTCCGAGGCGATATCACTACAGAAGTAGATTGCCCAACCTTCCTTCCAAAGAGTGGTTGGTGGATTTGAACCACAAGCCTTCTGGTTAGCAGTCAAAGGCCTTAGGCACTACGCCACCAGAGCTCCCGCTGTACAGAATAGCTCATATTATTTCCATTTTATAGTTAAGAAATGGAAGCTCAGCTCCGTGAGGTTAAAAAAAATTGTCTAAAGCCACAAAGTCAGTAAAAGGTAGAACTGGAACTCAAACCCACATCTGTCAGATGCCAAAGTCCTTTCTCTTTCTACTCCAGAAATCAGAAATAGATATAGGTCTCCAATGCAAGAATTATATTCTACATGCTACATTTAGTCCTATAACTTGGGTTGTGAGCCAGGTACCTGCAATCTGTCCCTCTGTGAAACTATGAATGATCAAGGGTCTTTAATTCTCCATGTACCTTTATAATTTTCCCCTTCAATTCCTAACCCCATTCCCTATAGTCAGTATCTATCTGCTATCACCACAGTTGGACAGTCTTCTGACTAGTTTGGGACAAGTGATCTCAGGCCACACTGTCTTTTCCTTCTTAAAAAGCTACAAAAGAAAGAGAGTAAAACTGAGCAGGTGCTTTCCCACCACCCTTTTCCATGAATGAATGTCCATCCTGTCATCTTCACTTCCTAACCATGTATCTTGGAAATAAAGACAACAGCTCAGACGAAGCCACCTTCTTGCCCTAGGAAAAAGAATAAACTGGAGTATCCAGTGGTAAAGTAGACCCCCAGAGATAACAATGAGCAAATTGCCAGTGTTTGTCTTACCTTGGCCCTGGATTGATGGGTCCATTGGTGTGAGGTACAGACAGGATGCTAGCATGGGGTGTGGAGGATAAAGAAGTCCAACTTTCAGGTCCCGAGAAAACTTGCAGATTGTCGCTTGAGCTTTCTATCAAATTCACTTTGAGGAAATAAGAACAGTTCAATTGATGGAGCATGTAGAACACACAAAGATGGCAACTAGTGACACTATTTTAAGGGTAAAATATAATCATGGTTTGTGCTACAGGCACCAACAGTTCGAAGGAAATAGAAAAGATGGAGGAACTTAGCTTTATTGGATGCCAATCATGTGCTGAGTACCTTTTGTATTTTAATCTTCAAAACTTTTCAACTCCATTTTAAAGGTGAGACTCGGAGAGGTGAGATGATTTGCCTTTCTGACACAGCCCTAACTCATTTCACCAGATAGGAGTCCCTCAATGGGGCAAAGAGTTAAGTGCCCAGCCACTAGCTGAAAGATTGGTGGTTCAATTCACCCAGAGATGCTTTGGAGGACACACCTGGCAATCTGCCTCTAAAAGCCTTAAAAACCTTATGGAGCAATTCTACTCTGCACACATGGAGTCACCATGAATTGGAATCAACTCCACAGCAACTAAAAATAATACTTCCCTTTAAGAACAGACTGAATGTATCAGTATTGCTTCATCAGTTTTAACAAACACACCACACTAATGCACTAATGATTTTTACTGGTGTGTGATACTAATGATATTGTTCAATAATTTACACATTCTGTTGGATCACTTTCTTTGGAATGGGCACAAAAATGGATCTCTTCCAGTCAGGTGGCTGGGTAGCTGTCTTCCAATTTCTTGGCATAAATGAGTAAGCACTTCCAATGTTGCAACCGTTTGTTGAAACATCTCAATGGGTATTCCGTCAATTCCTGGAGCCTTGTTTTTCACCAATTCCTTCAGTGCAGCTTGGACTTCTTCCTTCAGTACCAGTAGCTCTTGATCACATGCAACCTCCTGAAATATTTGAACATCAACTGTTTCTTTTTGATACAGGAACTGTATTCCTTCCATCTTTCAATGCTTCCTATGTTGTTCAATATGTTGCCCATAGAATCCTTCCATATTGCAGTCCAAGGCTTTAATTTTTTTTTTTTTTTTTTTTTTTTTTTAGCATTCAAAACCTTACCTCCTTGTTCAAGTTGTGTTCTCTTTTCTTTCCTCTCAGCAATGATGAAGCATCACAGGAAAATGGAGGAGACTGAATAATTGCTGCATAAGCTTTACAGTGCATGGAAAAACATTGAAGTCATTATTGCAAAGTGCATTGTGAATTTTAAGAAGGGCTATATGATACCTCATTCTTTCTTCAATTATCCCCAGCAAATAATAGCATGGATAATGAGAATTGGAATTTTAGCCACAGATAAAATATTAGTGTGAAATGGCATTTTCATGGAAATATAGATTAATAAAAAGGTATTTTAAAGGAAAATTAAACATTTGTTCAATGTAAAAAAACCTGGAAATCTTACAGCAAATTTTAAGAGGTGTATTTTTAACAGATGCTGAATTAAAACTTAATTTAAAGCTGTTCAAAACATCTCTCTGTCTAAAGATATTTTTTTTAAAACAATTAAAGTGTTTTTTTATGAATAATACAGAAATAATAAAGAAAGATAACATTTATATATTAGAGAAAAATTATATTTTAAATTCCAACTATAGTATTTTTTACTTGGAACTCTCCATACAAATAAAGATTTAATGAAATTAATGATGGAAATTATTGACTAAATTACAAGTGAATGTGTGAGAAAATCATCAATATCTGAATAGGAAATATCTTATAAATCCAACTCAGCTTTCTGACCAGTATCTTATTTTTCTCTCTAAATTCTAGCATATATCCTGATACTATTTCCTAAGATGTTATCTGATCAGCTCTGTACAAAGCAATGAATGCCTTGATACCAAAACAAAAACCAACCTCACCGCCATCGAGTCAATTTGGACTCATAGGTTGAGATATCTGATTCTTAAAATTTAAAGATAAATGATGTCCATTTGGGGAAAATAAAAGAA